TACGGGGAACCATGCAAAAAACGCATCTTCGCACGGGCAGCCCGTGCGTTGGCCAATTTTTTATTTTTTGAAGGTAAACAAATGATTGAATCTGGCCCTTGAGTTGAAGATCGAGTTGTTGGCTTCGAGTTTGGACCTCGCTTACGGACGCGAAGTCTATATAACAAAATTCAGCTTCTTCGTTTTTACTGTTCCCGAATTAAATTTCGTATTTAATTCCGGAAAGAATTCCAGAAATTCCAGAAACAAAAAATTCCAGGAACGGTCGAAACAGCAACGCAGACGGATGCAAGACCTGTTATTGCGCGCGACTTGGCAGTACCAACTTCTCCGGAAGCCTATTTTATCACAGATGGATCGAACGAAATTTTTTCCCGTAAAGTCTTCATTGGCGGCCTTCCGATCGACATGCCGGAAGGTACATTTATAAAAGACAGAGCTGTAGAATTGGCAGTTTTGAAGCTCAGTTGCACTTTTTGCGTTTTGACAACAGTATATTCTCGAAGTCGTGGACGCACTGGAGGAAGGGCGAGGAGGGGGACGACTACGCAATTCCGAACCTGGATAGTTAAACAGCGAAACGAGCGAGCGTCATTAGCATCTCGAGACTTCTTTTGTGCATTTCTGCTGTCGAAGTTGGACGACAGAATCTTCTCCTCATACATTTTCTTTTAGAAACAGGGACATTTGAAAATAACCCGTGTAGTAGCACGCTCAAGCAGCAGCCACGTGCTGACAAAATTGTCGATGGCTCCCTCTCTTTCATGATTTGCTTAGCAGTAGCACGATGACAGCTTGATCCTCCAGTACACGCCAGTATTAATCTGCATTGGAAGCCAATAAACAAATCAAGAGAGACTAATTTTATCACTAGCAGCGTTAGACACTTCAGCTACATCTGAATAAATCTGCATATTTTAGAAGAAATAAAGTCAATGTTTTCGCAGTTCGGTCCAGTGTACGTTGACTGGCCACGTCGGCAGGAAGTGCCAGCGAAAGAGGAGAAATCTTCAGGTTGGTGGACTTTCCAGTTAGCTGTAGTGGATGCAAAAGAAATGGCAAAATGAACGTCTCATTCTACACGGTTTTACCACTTCTGGTGCTGGGAAATTTTAACAAACTTTTCAAATTTAAATTTGAACTTTCTATTTTCTTCAAATGCCTAACTTTTTAAAATTAATCATCAGCGAAGTGTACGAGGCGGGCCCGTGCGATTATGCGTTTTGCAGTATTTCATGATGTTGTAAGATCGCTTGGAGTCCCAGCAGCTAGGATTTGTGAAATACTAGTCCGCGAATTTCAGGAAGTTAATTGTGCAACTACAAGGTACTTGGTCAGGGAACATCCCCTCAAAATTTCAGCTTTCTCTCTTTTCTAGTCCTCGAATCAGCAATTTTCTCATGAAAAATTTTTATGAAGC